ATCCTTCACAAGACAAGGTGACTTCATCCGATACATTAACAGTGACGTTATGAATAGGTGAGCTCACTTGTGGTGGGTCTAGAGTAAAAATTCTTAGAATGATTACTGCTATTATAATAATTATAATCATTATCATAATTCCCTACGTGTGATCAGTAATTGAGTTTGAGCCTTGAGTAATGTCCTGTTATTATTTGATGGTATGACTTGCTCAACAACACAAGAGTAGTTCAACTCATGATGTGACAACTGAAGATTCTCCAAAGTGAGAGTACTTTCAATGACTTTAGGCGAGGCAACAACACTTGTTGAGATATTAGTGAGATTAAGCCCATTACTAGTTAACCAATACACAACTGGAGGAAGAGGATTAGCTGTCACTGAACAGAACAAGCTGATGTTCCCTCCTGCTAACTCTTGTATCATAGTTGGAGGTTTAGTTAGATAGTAAGCTGCAACTATAAAAAAGATAGCAATAAAATTTGATCACACATTCCATTGCATTATAAGCGAAACAAATGAACAATTCCAAACATTTTGCTAACCTATACAGACACATGTAAATTCACAATATACATGACCCATATACATTTATAAGTATGCATAACTGTAACTCATTATAAATATACAACCAATATTAAACATTTGTGCTCTAGTGAACAATTAACAATGATGGCAACAAGAAAAATGGTTTCAGAGGGTGTTGCTGTTTATACTCATTATTTAACATACAGGACATATCATATTTCCCCTTGGCTAGGAGGCATTAATTGCTTTTTGTAGTGACTATGCATGATAGCAAGAGTGGATAATTACTCTTGATGATAGCACATACACACACACACACATATATATATCTGTACTTACAATAAACGCTAACGAAAACGTCACTTGAGTTCGTAAATTCATGACTGTTACTAATAGAATTATAAGCAGAGCAGAAATAGTGGCCTTCGTGTTCTCTTTGCAGTGGTTGGAATAAAAGTGTACTAGTGAAAATGTTCGTGCCTTCATTTATTACATTGTTAAGATGCAACGAGGAATTATAATGCAATGAGAAATTATAAACTCCGTTGAAATACCAAATCACTTCTATAGTTACAGGACTACTAAATGATGTGCAGACTAGGCTAGCATTATCGCCTTGGACAGCATTTAATTTCATCATAGGCATGATACTAACTTGTGGAGGTGCTATAAATGAACAATAATAATAAGAATAGTTTTTTAAATATAGATCTGGCTTACTTTCAATTATAAGTGTGAAAGTTTGTGAAAAAGACTCCTGATTACTGTTATAAATAGTGAAATAGTATTGCCCGATTTTAGAAACATTGGCTACTGAAGAGAGAGTTGAAGACCAGAAAAGAGAGCTGTCTTGTTCCACTGTGACAGTAAAGCTTGGATCATTAGCAAGATTTGGATTAGTGTAACTGCTCCACACTCCATTTTGTAGACATCTATTGTAGCTGATCCTAAAAGTAAAAGTCGCTCCTACAGCTACAGTCAACGTCTTGACATTTGGTTCTGGTAAACTATTACAAGCGCCTTGGGCTATGTAAACGATGAGAAAGGAGATGAGAAAGATACTAGATCTAAATTAGATGTTAAATTAAAGGTAATTGCTCACCCCCAATCGGGCAGAATGCTATTAGGAGGAACAGCATGCCAGTCACTAAGCACAACATTTCTAGTTGGCTGTCAGTCAACTCTTCGTTGGCTCATACACTCATTCTTCGCCTCGTTCTTTACTCAATATATAGCCCGGCCCAGCCTTCTGAGCCTACACCCACATACGTTAATAAAATTTTTAAGGAAGAAATAAAATATTTTGATGTAGATCTACAAGAATATAAAAATTATGCATCGAAAGAACTTTTTAAACTGGTTCAGGTACTAAATCACTGATTGATATTTTTTCTAGGTTTTCTTGACTTGCATCATTTTCTTGACTTGCATCATTTTCTTCAACTACATCAGTTATTTGTCTACTGTCAATTTCATCATCAACAACCTGACGATGTTCATCAGTTGCAGTCAGCTTGTCTTCTTTGAGTTTATCATTATTGTCAATAAAATGAACAACCTTTTCTCTCTCTTTTACAGAATCAGCTAATGGAGTGTCAGCAGTGGTTGCGGAGGAATTCGTTGACGATGAATAAGAGTTTGCTGTAGTAGACTGTGAGAGAGGAAGCTTGTACTTCTTTAGCTCCACATTAGTATCAGCATAAGTTCCCAGCTTATATGTTGATTGCTTTAATCTTGTACTCCTCCTTATCATGTATGTAGTACGGAGCGACTGGTCAATTTCAACAGCTTTCACGTGCTGGCTTGTTACTATGTATATCCATTTCAACCAAGTTTTCCGAACCTTTGAAATTCTAAGACCATAAAAAATGAAAATTAAGATCCCTTGAAGGCCAGCTGCAATGACAAAGGATAACTCTAAAGTGTATCTTAACCACTGAATGGAAATACTTGATGTTGCAACTAAGCCAATCCCCCAGGCTAGACCAAATAGGATGCTGAGTGTAATAACCAGTAGTACTTGTTTTTTAAAACTCGTTTGTAAGTTACTATTGCCCCCTCCTCTCGTCCTGCACTGTTGCTTGAAAAGTGACACGATTATAATCAAGAACATGATCCAATTGTAGAGATATATCATAACAAAGGGGCTTATAAATCCAATCCAAAATTGCCATTGTGTTGGCCGACAACTAAAGAAAAACATCCAGTCAATTACTCATAATGTAGCAGCAAAAAACTTACAATTTTGATTCCTCATAAACATAATTCTTGTAATTTGGAGCAATGGTCAGGCCGACAATAAAAAAAGGGGTCACTGCACATTGAAAAATGATTACAATTTGTAGCATGTCTTAACTTACCCCACGTAACAATGACTGCCTTGATGATCATTCCATGCTTGCTCTTGGCAAAGACTTTAACAAGTTCTACATAAAGTATAGTAGCTTCAGACGCCATAGAGAGAAACGTGGCAAGAAAGAAGTAGTGGAGGAAAGCACCCACAACCACACAAAGTTCCTCAATTGGTGCTGCATATGATGCAGGAATAAAAGAAACGTACAAACCAACCAAAGCACATGACATGTTGATGAGTAGCTTTCCATTGTTTGTGTTCCTTAGATGTCTATAAGGAATATGCAATCATGAATTTTTTACACATACAAAATATTAACAGTTTACTTTTCAATGGAGTAAGTGAGTATAATGACGACAAGACATAATATGGATACAGCACAACCAAGAAATGTCACTGAACTCACAAATTTCTGATAAGGAAGAGGTGGTGTGTTAGTACCTTCATTTGGCAACATGTCCTACTCATAGTTATTATAAGTAATAGCATAACAATGGAAAGAAGTCTTACTAGTAACAATGCAAAGGTTGTTAGATGGTTGCAGCCACAGATAACAATATCTGAATCTTCATGAAGTACACTGCAGCCATAATTGGACCAATTCCCATAGTAGTCTACAATAAGAACAATACAGAGTAGCCAAATGCCATCACAGATTTTCTCACAAAGCATGCTAAGTGAGCTAAACAGCATGAGCTTCATGAGCCGACAAGCGCTACAATACAGTGCAGGATTATGGTGTTCAGAGCAACTTCTCGTAAAATTTTTGATCGGAATCAACTCAAACTTTCTACACAACATAACTACATGTATGTACAATTATAAAAATGAACAATTCTCTCCCTTTCATTTTTGGCATGATTTGACCAAAATCTCTGTTTGGGATTTTGGCCAAATTTCGTACAGCGACTTTTACCCAATTTTATAGTAACTTTTTAAAATTCTTAAAAATCCAATTTTGGTTAAAATCAGATCAAAATTTCCACACAACATAAGTACATGTATATGCATCAAAAAATTTTAAATGGAGTATTATATCCTTTTTATCTTTGGCAAAATCTGGCTGAAAATCGTGTACTATAGTACAGAGTCTTTCACCCAATTTTTGACTTTGAAAATCCACTGACTAAAAGTTGCATGAGCACTATGCCAAAATCCTGTGGAAAACCCTTTACATTATCAACATGAATTACCATCAGAGGAATGATCCCAAAAAGAGCAATAAACTCCAGTAGCATTTGCCTTAAGATCCTATACAAAAAATGATTGAAAAAGGACTCACTAGTACAGTACATATAATACCTTGTCTTTCTTCAGTGTTATAGTAATCAAATCTTCTTGATTGCTGATATCATGCTGAGCAAAAGTAGCTGAGATTAATATGCTACCAACTCTTAAATGAGACCATTTATTCAACAGTGAACTGCGACGAAGGAAGAGCAAGTCATTATCAAAAGCAGTCTGTATCAAGCGAATGGTAGATGTTGCCTCAGATATAACATTACTTAATATTGAGCCAGGAATGAATATAGAAGCCAAAGGATCCGTAACATTATTGTTTAGCGAAACAGGATGATTAGTATTGCTAAAACCGTTGCCGTTAGTAGCAATGCTAAGACTGAAATTATTATTCCGATCACGGGACACGTTTAAACCTTGTGTCACAACAATGAACCGTCTTCGTAGCACAATTGTTGTCTCGTCGGTAGGTATTGGGTAATTCTCTGTTATTGTTTCAAATGACTGCAAAAGTCTAGAATTAAGTATAATAGCATAAAACACTGTTTTGTGATTTTTTTTACCTTTTCGATGTACTTGATTCTTCATTGCTTTCAATGAAAACATCACTGTCAATGCTAATTATATTATCAGCTATTGTGAAGTATGAATCTGTGAGCTACAGAAAAATGTTGATTCATTTACACTTGATTAATGATGTTATGTCATGTAAAAGTGGTTTGACTTAAGTCTGATTAGTAGCTTTTAAATTATAGTTATCATGCAAATTAGATCTAGACTATATAGTCAGAAATTTGGAATTTTTAAAATGGTCATGACTCAAAAAATTCAAGTCAGAATCAGCTCAAACTTTCTACATAGCATAAGGACATCAATATTTATGAGAAAATGTAATAAAAATTGAGGGGGGGGGGCGGGTGGGGGTAATTTTGGAGCCCTTTTTAAGAAAAACCATGGGCTATAGTCCATGCTTTTTTTCTGAAAATTTGAAAATAGAAAGTTTAAGCTGAATACAAAAAAATTTGAAGTAGCTCAAAAAGCTTGCCAAATAGCTAGGAAAAAATTCATTACTAATTTTGATGCATATAAAGCGTACAAATTTAAAAAATAATTTGGCCTCCCAATTATTGAAAAAAATTCCCACTCTAACTTCAGTGTTTCCAGTGATTTCAGATTTCAGATTATCAATAAGTGAAATAGAGATAGACAACTCCAATGGACCCATATCACTTGATATTGCTGTGATATTTTCTAAGCCAGCAAGCACTTTTTCAGGATTTTGTAACTACATAAGGCAAGAAAAATATTACAAATAATCTATGTACTGATATGTGTCTTACAGAAGCAAGTGAGCACAGCTTCCTAGCTGCTATACTAAAATCACAAGCTTCATCAATTGGTGGCTCCCATACTGCCCCTGTTTTAAAATTCCCACCACATCTCCTTGTTGCATTCCTCACTACTCCAATATCAAAGCCCTCTGGACCACACGGACATCTTTGAAATTAACAGCAGGATATTAATTTTCATTGAACAATGCAATTATTGCTACCTTAGAGTGGCCACCTGGGTTAAGTCGGTTTCCTGCCAGTTTAAGATGAATGCTAAACTTGGGTCATCATTTGGCGAAGGGTTTGTAGTTTGTTCAGTAGGACAGCCATCTTTAAAAGAAATAAAAGTGAATGTTACAAAGACATCTTAATTACCAAATCTTCTAACATCGTCGACGTGAACTGAATCTGAAATATGAGACAGAGCTTCTAGCCTCCCATTAAGCAAAGAGAATGCATTTTTGACTGCAAATGTCAACTCTGCAGTTCCTCTTGACTTGGATTCTAATGAGAGAACGACAGTGATACTGTCCAACAAAGAGCTATAATGAATAATAATAAGATTAGTGATTAGTGTATTATTGGGCCTACTTTATGTTGGAAGAGGAGAGCAGCTCTAATGAAATGTAATTGAAGTCTATTGATTTGTTTGTAGACAGTATTTTTCTCATTTCCGAATTCATCTAAAATAAAGGAGCTGATTCCATTCTACTTCGTATATTCTATTTAAGCTTTCTCTCTCTCTCTCTTCCTTACTGTTCCTATAAGTTTATTTAAACGTTCTTCGGTAGCTTTAAACGTTTCCTCCACTTGACGCTTTTTACGAAACTCTTGATCAATAAAACTACGAATGTATTTTTGACTAAAAGTAATGTTAGCTTGATATTGTACTAGTCCTATGAAATGTAATATAATTAATAACAATAAATATTCCTATATCTACCTTTTATTTTTACAGTCATGTCATCAGATTTTATGCTTCCAAGCTCATTAGTAGCATTGCATCGGTAAATCCCTCTGGTGTTTAAGTCAAGCCTTTTGATTTCATAATCCTCAGTTATGGCACCGACCAACAACACATCGTCCTTAAACCAGATTATGCTTGGTTGAGGATACCCTGTCACTGGACAAGAGAGCAGCACAGTGCTTCCAAACTCTCGATAAAATGTTAATGTTCTATTGTAACTCAAAAACTGGGGGCTTGACTTTTCAGTTGCAACTAATAAAAGATAGAAGAGACATCAATTGAGTGAAAACTGATAATTTCTGTTACATTTTGTACAATTTCTTTCCGTCCATCCTTCGGTACATATGCACAAGTAACCAGAAGGGCCATTTACACAAGTCCCTCCATTGCTGCATGGATGATGATCACAAAAACTCAAAGAAACTAAGAAAATTAAAAAAATTTCATCATCATTATGACTGACTGAACATACTTGGTATTACTGAAATGTTGTATTGTATTCTTGCTGTTCCTTCCTGGTTCTCAACCACACACTCATAGCTACCATTATGAGTTGGAAGTAGATCAGTAGCATTTAGCCTACTAGTAACAGCAGGCACACCTTGTCTAACACTATCAGTTGCTACTGTAGTGATAGTAAACGTATTACTAAATGCCTATAAGAGCGATAAAAATTATTATAGTGCATTGTTAATTGTTATTTCCTCTTACTCCAATCTGTCGTCTATTTGCTAGCCATGTGATAGAAGGAAGAGGCAAACCATCAGCTTTACATTCTATGAAGCTTGAGTCACCTTCTTGTAGGAGGATGGAATACACAGTAGAATATATTTGAGGTAACGCTTTAATGAAAATAATAAAAACATATCAAATTTATTTGTGATTTACCTTTGATATTTAATGAGATATTATCAATAGTGTCTTCTCCAGCTAAATTCTTCATAGTCAGTTGGTAAGTTCCATTATCACTAACACTGATATTAGTGAATGAAATATTAACCAGTCTCATTGATTCATCATAAATTATGTCAACTTGAGACAAACTTTCATTGTCAATCCTTTTAAATGCTATACTTGAAGAATTAACTGGAGGATTTGGTATGCTGGTAACTCTGATAGAAATATTATAACTACAATCAACATATGGAGGTTCACTCTTGGGCTGATACTGAAGTACAGGAGGTACTAGTACATCCAATATAACTGTGATGTTAGCTACTCCATGTACATTACTGACAGTACAAGTGTATTCTCCAGCATCTGATGGTGATGCATTTGTTATTATAAGTTGACCATACTCCTCCCT